TTTGGGTGCAAGAGGTCTCGAGTTCGCAACATACCGAATGACCCTACCAATAGTTGAACACCCCCAACATATTAGAATTCATTGCCAGTTTGTACCCACTCTTAAACATATAGAGCCCCCTACTTAAAATAATGCCAAGTCCACCAATTAGCTCCCTCAAGTCTACTAATAAGAATACCATTCTAGATAAAAGAACTCATGACATAAGTCGGGAATAGGTTGGGCCACACTTTTTATCGACACCTCTTTCCTCCCCACAAGAGAAAGAATTTTCCTTCCAGCCTGAATCACCCTCCAAACCCTATCCTTTATGGCCTTGAAATCTCTATTCCTATTCCTCCAAACGGCTGAAGGGAGCCCCAAATAATATCCCAAATGAGGGACTAAACACATACCCATCACCATCTGCATGTACCGTGGAAAATCCCAACCAACATTTTGAGAGAAACATTAAACATACTTTTCAAAATTAATTTTCTACCTCGAAGCTCGCTCATATAAAAAAGAATACAGTTAATAGCACATACTTCAGAAATACTTGTCTTACAGAAAATGAGGCTATCATCGGTAAAAAAAGATATTCAAAATACTCGGGCAATTAGGAGTGATAGTGATACTTGAGATCCTTTGCGTGACATGAGCTCTGTGGATAGAAGCTGATAAACCTTCGGCACAGATAAGGAATAAGTAAGGCGATAACGGATCACCTTGTCGAATGCTGCGCTAAGGACTAATGACCCCTTATGCATTTCCATGGTTTTCGGTGTAGAAATACAGTCTATAATAATTGCCACCCAATGAGAGTGAAATCCCATCTTCGACATCATTTTCTCCACAAAGCACCACCCCACTCTATCGTAAGCCTTACTATATCTAGCTTTAAGGTCGCATAGCCATCTCTCCCTTTCCTTTTCTTCTTTATAGCATGGAGGCATTCATGACCTATCACAATGTTATCTGTAATGACTCTCTCTGGAACAAAGGCCGAAAGGCCGATTGGCTCTCTCAGATTAACTTTCCCAAGACTTTCTTAATTCTGTTAGCAAGGACCTTAGAAAAATGCTTATATGAAAACATTACGCAGACTAATAGGACGATAATCCAAAATCCTCGTAGGGCATTTTGACTTGGGAATTAAAGCAATAAACGTATGATTCCAATCCCTTATCGATTTTATTCCATTCAAGAAGTCAAGGCAGCATTTCACTGTTATGTCTCCCATCGTAGTCCAATATTACTTATATATTTTGATATGATGGTTAAAAGTGATATGATGGGCTAATTAAACTTTAATTAAAGGATTATTTACTAATCCAAAAATTTTGTATCAATATATATCTATAATTTCCATGATTTTTTCCAAAATATCAATTGACATCGACATGTCCGTAAAATTGGGGACATTTTTAACCTTGACTTTAGCATAAGGTTCTTGAGCTGCATAAAATATTTAAAGTAAAATAAAATTTTGAATTAGTCCACGATATCAAATGTTTAAACATTGCACATGCATTTCATTCACATGGATTTTTTATTTTCGCGATAAACTGCAAGTAAACAAAGAAACTTTAACTAGAAATAAAATTAAAAAAAAAAAACCAGACTGATTTAATTATAATTTTCAGGTGTCAACAGGTCACATTTTTTAATATTGTAATTGATAGTTGGCATGATCATGAATGGAAAGGGCATTTGGTAAAGTGGTATGATTCTTGCTTTGTGTGCGAGAGGTCTTGAGTTCGTTTCTCGAAATGCACCTTTAATGGATCATTTTTACTATACTAATAATAATATTATTAATAATATGGATCATTTTTACATATTAGATTTGAGTTCCAACAAAATAGATGTCAATTTCTACATTTTTTGTCTGAGAATATACCCAGTCTATCAAACCATGTCATTGGAGCCTATTTTAAGCCATATAGAACCTTATGAGTTTACAAACTCAAGGAGATTTAGAAGAAACCTCCAAACCATAAGGTTGAGTAATATAAACTTCTTCAGATAAGATGTCAAAGAGGGAGGCGTTGTTAATATCTATTTGTCGAAGTGTCCAGCCATGAGCTAAAGCAAGAGTAAGCGAAATCAGAATAGTAGGTTGCTTGACAATCAGACTAAAGGTTTTAGTATAGTCAATATCGGTCTCTTGAAGAAAGCCTTTAGCATCTAGCTTGGCCTTATTCCAATGCTCACAGCGTAAGGCCTTTTTTGCAGTGCGGGGCTCAACCTCGCCGAAAAATCAGTAAGATATATCTTTGGTTTAGAAATACCATTCTTCCGTCTAGTTATCATAGAGTGTGAATTGGCAACACATGGAGCAGGTGAATAAGAGTTGGCAGATTGGAAAAAGATGATGAAATAGGGGCTGATGGGTCACATGGTAAAGTGGGCACATCAATAGGTAAAGGACAAATAGTATTTGATGTGCTAGGCAAAGAAAGAGTCAGTAGGAAAAGTGGGTAAAGTATTGGTCAAAGAAGGAATAAAACGAAGAGCAACCGAAGGACCATTGGATGAAGATAGGTCATGAGAAGGAGTAGGTGGTGTACGAGATAAAAGTTGTGTCAAATAAAATAGGTGCAATAGTGTTGGAAATGGACGTAAGAATAGGAAAAGAGACATATATTAGGCCACAAAGAAGAATTTATTTTGTATGAGAGAGAATGAAACGGAAAGCATAATTCACTACAACAATTCTGCCCTTCAGCGACTGTTTATGCAAGGATATGCACAACAGTGTATTTCAGATTGCAGCTCGAACTCGGCCTCCGGACCGATCTGAATACTTGGGCGGATCTGCACAAAAAGGTGAGCACTCCGACGATCAAGTCAGTATAGGTCGGATTCCCAGTTTAGTTCGAAGCCAGAAATCATCGTACCTGATCGGGAGTGAGGTCCTCTACTTATGGGTGGTAGTCCCGCTAATCTAGCGACGGTTACATTCGGTAATCTCGGGACCGT